TCTTGTTGTCCATGCACTGTTCCCACCGTGGCGCCGGCATCTGAATGCGGTAGCACCAAGCGGGATCTTTATGCACTTGGGAGTAAACTATATGCTAAAATCAGCCGAGTGCTGTCGAGAGAGGCCTTCAAGATTAAAAGTTCCACAACTGGTTGAGGGGATGTGGACTGCATAATTTGGTTGATAGGTCACAACAAGCCGAGGCCAAAGAAGTAGAGACCTGGTAATCAGGAGAGACGAAAGAGAAAAAGAAGAGGGTGTGGAGTAATCCTTCTAACGCAGGTTGTTACTAACATTATTTCATACGGCTAATATTATTTCATACGAGTACATCAGTACGAGGGACTTGTAACCAGGAGTTTGTTGCAAGTAATGGATAACGGTAGGAAAGACCGGGTGCATCAGTTTTAGTTGGTGCATTTTGGGGCTAACTGCCTCATTCACCAGTGTCAAGTGATGAAGCATCGGTGCCGAGGGAGTCGGCCCTCTTGCGAGTATGGGAAGCCGCAGCTCCAGACGCAAGGAGATAGTTGAAAGAAGTTGCAGCTACAATTACGTTTGGAAGAATCTTGTCATTGGGTTTGCTTGGCTGAACTGTCGAGTCATCCTTCCAGTCCACCATTTCTCTTCCCTTTCCTGGAAATGCTGTCTCAATGATTTTGATAAGTCGGCCTTCACATATATGGCAGTTCTACCCTTTTGGGAAAAAAGGGCGTGTTTCCCATTGTTGTGTTCTGTTTACTACCATCATTTCGAAGTTTTGTGTGCAGTTAAGAAAGCCGTTTGTGGTTCGTGCGGTCCCCAATCAAACGTCAAGTACGCCAGCAATTCGCACGGTCTGCTCACGAGGACTGATCTCGCTATTAAACTGCGGATGGCTTGCCTGGAAGCGGCTGATGTTGGTCAGACGAATTACGATACTTCGGTATGAAGATCGAACTGTGCATGACATCATTCACAACTTTTGCAAGTTTTCTCTCAACTTCTGTAGAAAGTCAGTGCGTTTGTTCCAGTGACAATATTCGGAATTCATAGAGGGTAGAGGGTCATGTTGCATTTCGCCTAAACAAGTCTTCTCTTCTGTTCCCCTCAAATCACTATGTGGCGCCTTTCTTTCAAAAGGATGAAGGATGATGGGCTTGAGACATCATCATGCAAGTGCTCTGAACAGTCAAAGAGTTCGTGTCCGTGCTCATTGTCCCGCGTGGCGTGACAGTCGTGGATCAGAGTGAGGAGCTTATGCGTTAGTACCTGCCCATTCTTGGAACATGGACTCGTACTGTTCATGAGTCATACATCACAACAGAGGGGAAGAGAGAGAGAAGAGAGAAAGAGAGAGGGAGAAGTGGTGACGCGCGCTTGACATAATAGTTCTTTCATCCAAATAAAAAAATTAAACATGAAGTCCGGTCCAGTCTTCTCGCCCAGACCGGGGCATCACGTATGACCGTGTTGTGGAGCCGCCTCCGGAGCTCTAGGTTCCATCCCTGAAGTGCTAGGCCGTGGTGGGTATGGCTTCCGTGGCCTCCACGTTCAGTGGCAGAAATACTAGGCCCTGATGGATATGCATCCACTCCCTGAAGTACTAGGCCGTGGAGGCTATGGGTTTTACCCCCCCTCCAGAGGACACCTCCGCGGAATTTCCCCGACTTACCATAAGTGCACGGGTAATTTTTCACCGGGCTCCACTTACCGGCCTCTTCACGAAAACGGCAAGAGGCCACTCGTCATGTTTGCCTTTGGGTCCTCTTTACACAACGTCATCAGTGGAGCTTGCCAGAAATCGGAAATTATCTCCGATTTCTGGCATTACGTTTTTGCGGCCTCCTTCCTGAACGACTTTTTCAGAAAGTGCGCTTAGCACCAAACACAATAGACTTCATTTTGTGCTTCCATTTCACGGCATGAATATGGAAACCTACTACAGAGATCCCCTTATGTTTTTTTGTGAAACGGTGTTCGAGAGATGGCCTTAAACCACCAGTACTTCCTAAAGTCGTGCCCGTTCACACGCCACGATTTTAAGAAACGTACGGGCCACTACAGGAGCGCCGAAATTCATCCAACTAGAAACGTTTCTACTCTATTTTTTTCCGCACCTGATAGCTGGGCCAAGTACTGGTTATTTAATTGCTTCTCTCCAGATACAATGGACTCTAGGTGCAGTCGACAAGTATACAAGATGGTACACCATACGGCCAGCCAAAACCCAACCATACGCAACTCATAACTAGAGTGGACCCTTGGCTAATGGGAATGAAAATTGACAGAATTTATTACCAAAAACCGTGAGATTAAAGCTTTCTTCCTCCCTTCTGTTTAAAATTAAACGCTCATCTTCCGGGCAGCTGGACTGTATGCGCACAACCTTGCGAGGAAGAGATCGAAGAGAGCGAGCAAGCAAGCAAGAGAGAGAGGGTGCACAAATAGATGGGCACAGAAACCACAGTGGCAGACCCAAGGTGCACTGTGTTGCTCAGCAACAAATGCAGAACCTCTCTCTCTCTCTCTCTTTCTCTTTCTCTCTTGCTATCTCTCTCTCGCTGTGCGCAGTCTACCATGATTTTGCGTGAGAGACGCCACACGCAGTTACACACTGAAAATCCCTGGACACTTGAGCCGTCTTCACCCGAATAAACCGCCCATTCATTATCACTGCACATGGAATCTGAACTTGACATGGCCCCAAATACAGCTGAAGGCAATCTGAGGAGGTCATTGAACAGCGCCCACTTACTCCATGGTCCTGAAAACGAATACAGCTAAAAGGCATTCTGAGGATTCCGGACGTGCATGAGCCGGAGACGACTTTCGAGTAAAAGTGTCGAGAACACTGAGCCACTGCCACACGAGAGAGGGAGCTGATCAGCGCTCTCTTTTGCTACGATCTTCTACTTTTTCATAGAGAGCCAGACACACACACACAAACAGAGAGAGAGGTCTGTTCTAAAGCTCAACTGCCGCAAGACCGATGTGCAGTTCAATGTACAGCTTGACACATACGTTGGAAGATGCTATCCAGAGTTTGCAAAACAAAATCCTTTTGCAGATCCGAATTTGGAGATATTGGGAGATTCGAATTGCGCTGGGCAACTTCCTCAAGCAACTACCTCAGCATAATGAAATTCTCCTCTTCAACAGATTTTACGAATTTGCATTTTCTCTTTTCAAGTTTAAACAAATTTCTCAAGTTCTCCTCAGACTTCCTGCCTGCATGTACTACTACAATTGGTCCTAGCGGGGCTGATCCCGACGTACACGCGGGCAAAACCGTGTTCAGGAGAACACATGCCGGGGCTGTTCCCGACGTACAGGCGCGCAATACCGGCCAGGCACAAATGGTTAACAGGTACCCCACTTATCACCCCTAGGGTAACCTTCACCCCCTTGAAAAGTGCAGTTTGCTTTTTTGTTTTTTGGTTTTGTTGTTTGCCCTGTTCTGTTTTTGGTCAAGGTGTGTATGCGCCAAGTTTGGTGTTTGTTGGGTTCCTAGAGATGGTTGTTTTGGGCAGTGGTGAAAATTGTGAAAATCAACAAATTGAAATGTTGGTGAAATTTCATGGAACTTTTGGCTTGCTGTTTTTTTTGTTTTCAATTATTTTCTTTTCGTCTTCTTTTTACAATAAGTTAGTAAGAAGTGCTCTACAGACTAGTGTGAAGTATGGTTAAAACGGCCCTCGACTGCACAACAGTCAAAATGTATTAGGAACTGAAATTGGTCCCGATGCATTCAAATTGTTGCATTAGTCAGACAGTATCCGGTAGAATTGCAGCCCAGATACAAGTCGAATGTCTAGTGGAGCGAGGCCATATGTCCATATAGGAAAAACTCTGCACGCACTACTACGCTGGGACAAACAATTAGGCATACAAACATATAAACACAGAAATTATAACTATAGTAAAAAAAGCAGCCTCCACGGAAGCAACAAGCTTAACGAAGCCAAGAGCGAGCATGACCTAGGGAGTCTCGCAAGAGTTGAATCCAGCCAGCCTAGGACATCCAGAGCGCGCAATAGCTTACAGTGGTTGTGCGAGGGATACCTACACCTCAACATGATATTAGAGGCTCCGTATTCAGAGAGTGACACCTGACGATGCGAGGACTGGCAACCATAAATATCGCGCTGATTCGATCTTGAATATATCTCATGCCTATTAATTACCCTATACTGGTGGCGTTCATTCCTGAGCTACGTTCTTCCCCCGAACATAACGCACCCACATTTTGCCTGTACCGGCCCGGCAAAGATTGTTTCTATACATTCACCATCAGTGTGATAGCACGTCTCCTGTACAATAGAGAATCCACCTCAACGCAACTCTTCCACAAGCGTGTGAATAGACCACTAACAACACCACGTGCTGGGGGAGAGATGGGTAGGAGAGGCGAAATGAGAGCTGGGAGTGACCTGGATCTGCCAATATTTGCTAGCACTCGATCGTATACTCTGGACATGCGCACAAGAGAAAAATCATGGCGATGCATCTTTCCATGTTCTAGCGGTAGATTTACTCTCGTTTTGCACATGTCGCGAGTAGTGGAACGAGGCCCTATATGGCGTGTACTCAATTGCTACCGTCTTCACCCGAATAGAACCCCCAGTCATTATCCCTGCATCTGGACCGAAAGATGTTCCAAATACACAGCTAAAATGACCGGCCGTCCCATTCGTGTGAAGATGGTAGCACAAAGAACATAACCATCGGTCATAGTGTTTCGTTAGGGTTATAGACATGGACAGGTTGGGTTCACCCGTCTTGTGACTTCGGGAAATTCGTGGTTTAGAGATTCAATTCATTCAAGATAACCGCTGTCAGCAGAAAGCGTGAGAGAGAACATCATTATCATTCACCAGCAGCCAAAAAGCGGTTGAAAACCCATATATAGAAGGACCAATCCATTAATCTAGACATAGCAAAACAAAAAAAAACATATCCACAGAAAATCGACATTAAAGAAAGTGAAATGACATAACTCCGGGAGCACCAGGCAAACCAACATTCAATTGCCGTGCACGCCCCCCCCCCCCCCTGGACGTACTACATTCCCAACAAGACAAATAAAATCGATACACGCCGTCCGACACGCCTGCTAGGCACGCACTTTCCGCAGAGAAGAAAACAGGAAAGAGACAAATGGGAGCGCGAAAAGCCTCCTTCCGCCGTCTGCGAGGGAGAGTGCAACCATAGAGAGCCATAGGAACGGCGAGTCGAAGTGGACGGCACATCAAGAAGGGAGGAGGAATAGTAGCACACAATGATAGTACCAAATGAGCATCAACCGCAGAGAAGAAAACAGGAAAGAGAGACGAGTGGGAGAGCGAAAAGGCTCCTTCCGCCGTCTGCGAGGGAGAGTGCAACCATAGAGAGCCTTAGGAACGCCGAGTCGAAGTGGATGGCACATCAAGAAGGGAGAAGGAATGGTAACACAATGATAGAACCAAACGAGCTTCACCACAAACGACAAGCGACCGAAGTTGGGGGAGGGCGCGGGGAGAGGTGTTTAGGCGGGCAATGGGAGGCGAACGCAACCATAAAGACCCTTCGAAAAACGACACTCCCAACACTGCGGTACTACGAAGAAAGAGCTTTAAGCCAACACGCCAGCGGGGAGGGTCTACCGGGGGGGGGGGGGGGGGGGGGGGGGGGGGGGGGGGGGAGGTGGAGAGGAAATGGGGGAACCGAAAGCAGGGAGGGGCAGACGATCAGTTCTCACCGGCTCAGGAGAAACAACAGAGTAAAACTTTGCCGCCAATCAGACTGGCAAGAAATTACCACCGCAAAGACGAATCCACACGACTGAGAGAGAACGACGTTAAAGAAAGGTGACAAGAAAGACGCTTAGCAACTCATCCAATGTACATTGGGTGGAAGATAACGGAAATAAGACAAGAAAACTCTCTCTCTCTCTCTCTTACTGTCAAAACAAGGAACCGGGTAGAGCGAAAAAACAATAATCCGCGTGCTCTGAAATCAATACATTGGCCGCCACATCGAGTTGCCCATCACTGCGCGTGTGATTAATCCGCTTTTGGCTCTAAGTTGTAAGAAATTACTCCCCTCAACTAAACAAGCCCGTTCCTGTCACTCGATCAGACCCCATGCATAGCAAGCCACGCTCCAAAATTGTAACCCTTCCAAAGGAAATCACTCCCTTCACCCATTCCGGTCTAAACAATTCCAAACACTTTCGCGCGCAAAACGCCTTCCACGTCATATCCCACGATCACGATACCGATGCAGAGTATGGCTTCGACAACGAGAGCCCAAACCCGAAATTTTAGCCCTTCCAAACGAAGATAGATTAAACGAGGATAGATTGCTGCGCGTCTTTCTTTAACACTTCTCCGACCGACATACCCGTACTTCAGAGGCTTAGAATCTCAGCTTGGAGAAAAACCACCTATTCTTTCCTGTCTTGAACCTCTCCTCAAGAATCTTCTTCACCTCCTGCACAAAGCCAACCAGACAATCAATCCCACCATGTTAATTTGCGATATTGCACAACCTGTCACCATCAGCTCTTCAGCTTAGGTTTAGGTATCTTCCTCACTCCCACCCTCTTCTCTCTCTCTCTCTCTCTCTCTCTCTCTGTGTCTCCCTGTCTATATCTGTCTCTCTCTCTCGCTCGCTCGCTCTCGCCCATTTTCACGGATTTCTTTTCTTTATAAAGTCTCCGTACATCCGACTTTTCCCATCACATCATTTGAAGCGCTTAATCCCCTCTTCAACCGAGAGGAGGGTCTTTGCCAACCACCACCCGGCTACAGGTCACCTAATCTCTCTCTCTCTCTCTCTCTCTCTCTCTCTCTCTCTCTCTCGCCTTTTAACGGATACCTCTTCTCTTGACAAAGTCTCCGTACGTCCGGTCTATCTTATCACATCATTTCTAGCGCGTTCTGCTCAGCCACCACACGGCTGCAGAAGGTCAATTTTACCATAATAAAATGCATCTCCGTTAAAACTCTGCAACACAACAGCAAAAGCACAAAACAAACCACGCTCTGCCCTCCACATACATTTCATTTAATACCCAACAACTCGAAATTCACGAAATCCCACCGGCTATTTAGACATACAAGAGGGACATGCGACGCACCTTTCTGGTCTCCACCTTCTTCGCCTGAGTTTCAAGTTTCTCTGGAACAACGGTGGTCTTCAGATCCACATCGAGAGCGTACCTGCGCAAGACAAGTTTTACGGATCCGTTAGCGACAAGAAATCCCGAAATCCGTCCCCGTCCTCCCTCGAACATAATGCACGGCCAATGAACCTTAGTCCACTAATTCTCTGAGAGAGTACAAGTCCCAACTTAAAACCCGTTCAGCCGTAAGAGAGTTCCTAGCTCCCAAATCCCAACAATAAACCAGATGAATTCAGACGGATTTTCAGACCAGATACGACAACAACACTAGCCTTAGTTCATTGTAATTCTCTGAGGGAGTACAAGTCCCAACTTAAAACCCGTTCAGCCATAAGAGAGTTCCTAGCTCCCAAATCCCAACAATAAACGCGCTATTCTTCCCCGCTTACAACGTCACTTCCTTTTTTTCTTTTACTGATCGTAACATCACGTCGGTCGATTTCTTCTCCCGCTCACTCGTTTTCGTTTACCGCTCAGAACGACAAGTCACTCGTTTTCATTTGCCGCTCACACAGATTTTTCTTTCCCTGCTCACAACGTCACCTCATTCGGCATCTTTCCCCTCTCACTACGTCACTGCACTCAATAATACGGAAAAAAGCAAGTACGCAGATGACATACGGAGCAAAGGAGAGCGGGTAATTAATGATGACCATACATTTGACATGCAGCAAATGAAGGGACGAAGGATGAAGCTTCTACCTACACAAGCGCAGCCATTCAGGATCATTAGAGACAAACACTCAGCTACGTGCTCTACTTGACGTGCTGAAAGACCATCCTTAACACATATAGATCTTTCCTTCTGCCCTTTTTCAACCATCAGTGTTCTTCCCTTACCAAGACAAGCGATTTCATCACTCCCATGCGTTCTTCCAGTCTACACAAAGACTTTTACGGTTGGAGCGCATGAACGTCATCAATCATTCTTCGGCCTCTACCTTAATCACGTACTGAAACAACATCCTTAACACGTTGATCTTTCCGATCTGCCATTCGAGCGAACCATCGCTTACGGAGTGTTCTTCCTTTACTCAGCCAAGCGATTTCACCACCACTCCCATACATGGTCAAGATAGAGAAGGCGTTTACAGCTCAAGCGCACGAACATCATTATAACAGCTATTCAAATCATTAACAGCTTATTCTAATCAACTCGAGCGCTATGTTGAATTAGCTGACTGTAATTTGACAACAACACATTCACTAAAGCCCGTATTCAACGACCAGTGTCTTGTCAATACCCTGCACACGTTCCAGCGCATGTCTCCCGCCCTCTGCGTACCTCTACCTTAATACACTGTCGTGTCTAGGGTTGTGTATCGAACGTCGGACGTGTTTCATATACACTTAACTACTAGAAAATTCAAGAAAGGGTATTTCTTCCCTGCTGAACTGCCTTTCAGGTTCACTCGCTATAGCCTCGTCTTCCTTCCAGACATGTCTTATTCGCAGAAATTCCATAGCGATCTTCGATGTAGTATAGTCCTGCACATCAGATGTTGTATAGGCCCACACATCAGACGTGTAGGCCTACGCATCAGATGAAGTACAGCTCCACACCTCAGATGTACTAGAAGCAACAAGGATCAAAGGCGTGTCTTCTACTTAATCCGTATACATACTTCGACGTGCGCACTTCTTTCGTCGATCACGAATGCCATTCTACCGAAAACTCGCCCGATGGTGCAGCTCCTCAGACTGATGACCAAGTTATACAAGAAATCCACTGCTGCCAAGCGTTTCCACATTTCACGAAACGCCTATTGAGATGTGGACAAATTCCATCGTCTATTCAGATATAGACAAAATCCATCGTCTATTGAGATATAGACAAATTCCATCGTCTATTGAGATATAGACAAATTCCATCGTCTATTAAAATACAGTCCGCCGGCTCTTCGATCACAAACAGGTCAGGCATCCTATCGAAAACTCATCCGATGGTGCAGCTCGTCAAGCTAATCACCAAGTCATTCAAGAAATCCACTACTAACAAACATTACCGCATTTCACGAAACATCTTTGGAGGTATAGACAAAATCCAAAGGCAATGGATTGTCAGACTTACACAGAGAACCCGAGACCAAAAAGCACCAGTGAGAGAGAATCTCATCGAGAGAGTCCCTTAAAGAACAAACCATCAATCTCTAAAGCCAACCCAACTCACTTTTAGGGTTTGGAAACAAACGGGCAGGGATGCAGCAGCAGCCCTATTCCCCCGCAGCTAACTACGGCGTATCCTAAGCTAACCTAAGTAATTCCCTGCCTTGCCCCCACCTCCCACCACATGTACTGTTTAGACTTCCCATAAACTTCAACAAGCATGTCATAGTCACAACCCTACAGCCACGAAACAAAGGCAGACACGCTCCGAATGCTGAAAGCCCCCATCAAGAACAGAAAGAAGAAGGGTAAGTCAACAAAAACAATACCTCGTCGGCATGATGTGGTTGTAGTTGATGACCTTGACGAAAGGCTTGAGCCTGGCCCTCTTGGCGAGCTTCTTCTTAGACAGCTTCTTCGTAACCTGCACAAACGTCCATCCACATGTCGCCGGCTCGAAGGATCAGCAACGGTCGGTTATGTTGGGTGATCACATATCAGAAACAATGCAAGGAAAAGAAAGCCAAAGATGCAAACAAAACTACCCAGCGAGATGAGAAACTTGATCGAAAATAAACGGGCGTCAGGCGGATAATTCCTGCACTCGCACAGAACGCCAGGTCACCCTCACCCCAGCCCAGAAAGATTGCCATCACGGCGATCTCTCTCTCTCTCTCTCTCTCTCTCTCTCTCTCTCTCTCTCTCTCTCTCTCTCTCTCTCTCTCTCTGTGTTTGACTCCACCCCGCGCCTCCCCTAGAACTCGATCTCCCTTCGCATCACTTCCAACACTGTCTTCGTCCTCTCATTTCTCACTCTAGACCCTCATTTCTCCCCCTCTGTCCTTCGTCCTGGTCGCCATACGCAAGTCCTCACAATTCGTTTAGCGTTGGAGGGGTAAACCTGGACAGGACAAGTGCACATATCGTGTTGTTCTCGGGCATGCAAACAGCGCCGACGTACCTTTCGAGGATACTTGGCTATGCCCGCCACCAGGGCATGGCCATAAGGTCTCCCGCTCGTGCCGTCATCGAAGTTCTTCACGATCACAGCCTTGTGCCCTGCATACCGCCCGTTCAACAAAACGACCACCTTGTTCTGCTTCAAAAACTTAACCATTTTCGCTGACGCGGGAAGGCGCAGCAACTACTATTTCACGATAGGCTATGGCGGCCGCAACTCGAAGAGAGGAGCGAAAGTGGCGAACAGGAGTCTAATATCCTCTGCTATGGTGAAGACCCGCAAGAGGGCCGAACCGGAAGGTCGATATTCGGAGAGCCTCTTTCCGTACGGTATCTCCCGCCTTCGAAACCACACCGGTGGGCAGTCGGCCCTTCTCCCACACTCCCACAGAGAACCTCAGGTTCGGGGCCAGCTGCACCGTCGAAGAGCCTGGCCACCTCAATTTCCCGCAAGGCGGATGCTCGAAGCAGCACCAAGGGCTGGCCTGCACAGGCAGATAGGGTGGATCTTCAGCTAGGAGTTGACCGTGCGCGCTGATGAAAGGGGTGGATGTTCAGCGGCATTGTCTATCTCAAACGGGGTGAGCCTGGTTTGCAGCCCAACGGGAGGGATTGGTTTGCAGCCCAACGGGAGGGATTGGTTTGCAGCCCAAAGGGGTTCTATATAGCCTAACAGGGGTGCTTCGACTACCTATCGTTTCCTTTTTGGACACCCTGCGAGACCAAGATGGGTTACATTGAACCACCAGTACGTTTCCCAGCCATTTTGCAGAAATGCGTCAAACCGTGTCAGGTGGGATGTGCCGGAAGCTATTTCGCCCAAAATATAACCAGGTAAAATGGGGCTCATGCGAGATCCGAGTTGCCTGGATAGATTTTGGGCGAAATGTCACCCGGGTACATCTCACCTAATGCACCGTGCACACACATTTTTGCAAAACGACTCGGAAACATGAGGGTGGTTTAAACCACCAGTATGTATCCCTAGCCTTGTAAAAAATGTTTTAGCGCCATCTTCGATCATTTCATGACTCGAAAAAGGCCCAAAAGCGCAACGAGGAGAAAGCGATTGGAGCCAACAAAACGAGACAAATGGACTACGATATGTCCTGGTGATTCATACCTTGCATATATTTATACATATATAGGTCTTTCTTATGTGACTCCATGTGAAAGGCGGGGAGCAATTGATTCTCGAGCAACCTCTTTCATTTAAAGTCATTCTCACACTAACACTTTTCAGCGCTCATTGTATTTGAGGCAATCATCTTGAAACTTACAATGACTTTTTTTTTTAAGCAATAAGAATCTCAACTTTTTATGATGTAAGCGACCGATTTCCTATCAACCCCTTTCATTTCAAGGTTTTCTCACGCTAACAATTTGCATGATGCATTTGACCACATTGACAGTTATACTTAAATAAATTGGGAGACAATCACGTTCAGAGTTTATTATACCTTACATATATATATATATATATATATCGTCAAATAGAACTGCCCGGTAAACCGTAGGCATATATATATATATATATATATATATATATATATATATATATATATATGTAGGTTCTTCCTAATATAACTCTTTGTGACATGCAAGGATGTATCTGATCGAATGCCAATATTGGATAAATATGAAGACAACCACGTTAATAACTCGGTCTAACTTTGCTTTTATTGTGTTTTTTTTATATGAGAAATTAAAAAAATAAATTCCCTTATATGACTCTCTGTGAGAGGTAGATAGCAATCACTTCGGTATCAACCTCTTTCACCTACGACATTCTACGGCTGATACCTTTCATAATATATTTAACCCCAAAGATAAGGCAATAATTTTCAAAGCTTAATATTACATTACTGTTTATTTTTTGTTTTTAGTCAGAGAGAAATCGGTTGTTTCTTATGTGAATCCTCATTATAGTTGGAAAAAAATAATTATTTGTCAACTAAAACTCAACGTTTTTCACTTCAGGGCAATTTTATATTGACATTTTCCATAATTAACCCGAGTATACTTCCAAACATAACACAAGAGTGAAAACGAGTAAACAATCACCGCCTTTCATTCAAACTGTTAACAACAAATCTAATGTAAATGGTGTTACCGTTGCTAACTGTTAAAATTTCATCGCTAGTTTAAACCACAAGTCCCCCTGCCTCCGGTGAGTTAGGGCCACGCTTTTCGGAAAGGCAGTGACCGTTGCTTACCGGCGGGTGCAGTCTCACAACTAAAAAGTACTATAACGTTTACGATTTCTCCCGGATAAAGTAATAATCGAAATAATATGAAACTTTGGAAACCCATCAACTAGATTGTAATATTTTTGAAACAAATATCAAAAATATATATGCATAAAGTTTTTACCCCAAAATAGTTATTTTTTCGATTCTATTTATATTTTATTTTTGCCATTCCACGACGTGTAGGCCAATGCAAAAAGTACCATAACTTCAGTGAATTTTTCATCTAAGAATAATGCGTTGAAATTATAAAAATTGAAGGGTTCGTAGATTATGTCATAGTATTTTCGGAAAAAATATATAAATTAAAAAAAAACAAATGATGCTGAAATAGTCAGCGTGCAGATTCAGTGCATTTTCTATTTGCCACTCTTCGACATGCGGGCCAATGAAAAAAGTACCATAATTTTAATAATTTTTTAATGTTTTTTTTTCCTGCTCATAAACAAGGTTGTTAGGCTGAACGTACGGAGACCCTTAAGCTGATCCTCGATCGTTCGAGCGTTCGGGTCCCCGTACGGGGCCCGAACCTGAAGGGGTTCGGACCCCGCAAAACATTATTTTAAAACCTAAATATTATTATTCTTTTCTGAAAATTTTTCTGTGAGTTCTTTGTGATGTAAGGTATCTCCCTCTTAATTTTGAATTCATTTTGTTCAGCCAAAAGGAAATGCAAAATCGGCAAAGATGGTGGTGTCAAACTTGCTTACCCACTCACTAATTTATTTTTTTTTTCTTTTTTTTTTTTGTTTTTCCTTCATTTCGGGGCATGAAAAAAATTATTAACTTTTCAAACTTTATTTGTATATTCTCTATTATGTAAGATACACATGTATAAATTTTCATGGCATTTGTCACAACAAAAAAACAATGAAAAATCACTAAAGATGGCAGTGTCCAAAACGTGCTCGCTCACTGAATAATTTTATTATCGTTTTATTTTATTCTAATTTTCAATATTATTATTTATTTTTAGTATTTGATTTTTATTGCAAATTTCGTAAAGAATTTGGATGTAACTTTGAGGCAAATGTTGTTTAGTTTGTTTTTCTGTATAACAATATATACATATATATATATATATACAGGGTCACCAACCCGTACGTACGGAGGTCCCCAGGCAGACCTCCATACGTACGGGCGTTTGGGATCCCGTACGGGGTCCCAACCAGATGGCGTTTGGCCCCCCCAAAACCTTATTTCGGGGTTTAAAAATAATTATTTTTTTCTGAAGTTTTTTTCTGTGAGTTCTCTATGATGTGAAGTCCATGCCTGTAAATTTTCAAGTCTTTTTGCTAATCCCAATAAGAATTAAAAATCGCCAAAAATGGCAGTGTCAAAACGTGCTCGCCCACGTATTTTTTCAGTTTTTACTTGTTGTTTTCACTTTAATTCGGGGTTTAAATAATTTTATTATTTTTTGAACCTTTTTTAGTGGGTTTTGTATTATGTGAAGTACACATCTGTAAATTTTCAGGGCATTTAGCTATGCCAAAAAAACATAAAAAATCGCCAAAGATGGCGGTATTGAAAACATGCTCGCGCACTCACTAAATTTAATTTTCTTTTTATTTTTATTTATTTTTATTATTAGTATTTGTTTTCTGTATTTTATTTTTATTTCAAATTTGGTAAGGAATTCAGATGTAATGCTCAGACAAATCTTGTTTAATGTGTTTTTCTTCATAACATTAATTTTTTTCAGATTTTTTTCATGACTTTTTTTTTTTTTTTTTTTTTTTTGGGTCCGCGTTCGGGCCGAACGGCCGAACGCATCCCAAGGGGTCCCATACGTTCGAGCGTTCGGGTTCGGGCGTTCGGGATATATATATATATATATACAGGGTCACCAGCCCATACGTACGGGCGTTCGGGGTGACGTACGAGGTCCGAACCTGACGTCGTTCGGCCCCCGCCAAAAATTATTTCGGGGCCTAAAAAATAATTATTTTTTTCATAAATTTTGTTTTATGAGTTCTCTATGATGTGAGGTACATGCCTGTAAAGTTTCAAGTCATTTCGCTAAGCCAAATAAGAAATAAAAATCGCCAAAGATGGCGGTGTCAAAACGTGCTCGCCCACATATTTTTTTTCACTTTTTACTTTTTGTTTTCACTTTAGTTCGGGGTCTAAACAATTTTATTATTTTTTGAAACTTTTTAAGTGGGTTTTGTATTATGTGAAGTACACATCTGTAAAGTTTCAGGGCATTTAGCTATGCCAACAAAATATGAAAAATCGCCAAAGATGACGGTGTCGAAAACATGCTCGCACACTCATTAAATTTAATTCTCTTTTTATTTTTATTTATTTTTATTATTAGTATTTGTTTTTCGTATTTTATTTTTATTTCAAATTTGGTAAGGAATTCGGATATAA